CACCATCCTTCCAGTTACTCAGCTTTCCAACCACAGTATCATCCTCAATGTTTCATTCTCACTCATATATATCTAATCAGTTGCAAAATCTTGTCCTTTCAACCACTGCATCTCTCACTTAATATTCTTTTTCTCTATTCATGGTCATTTCCTTAAAGTTCTCATCACCTGTCTCTCAGTAGCTTTCTAATTGATCTGCCTGTCTCAGATCTCTTCCCAGTCCAATTCATCCTTACAGATGATGAAGGTGATTTTCCTAATACATAGGTCTAACCATGGTGTTGGTCTAAGCTATTCAATAAACTGCAACGCCTCCTGATTGCCTCTAGGATCAATATAAAATTTTTGTTTGGCATTTCACAACCTGGCCTCTTCCAACCTTTCCAGTCATCATACACATTCATCTTTTCCATGCATGCTACAAACATACTGGCCTCTAATTGTCCTTGACATGCAGTATTTCTTCTTCCATCTTCTTTTGTTTACCTTGGCTGTCCCCTAAGCCTGGACTGTCCTCCTTCCTCACCTCCTCTTGTAAGAATCCCAGGCCCCTTTCAAGTTCAAATGCTACTATCCCCGAAAAACCTTTCAAGGTTCTCCCAGCTGCTGTTGCCTTCCCCTCTGAAATTCCCTTCCATCTACCTTGTATGTATCTTCTTTTTACCTAGTTATTTACATATTTATCCCCCCCCATTAAAATCTTAATCTCCTTAAAGACAAGTATTGTTTTTTGTTTTCTCTTTGTATTCCCAGTGATTAGTGTGCCTGGAATACTGTAAATGTTTAATGAATGCTTGTTGATTGATTGAGTGAGTGCTTTTTGGATTATTTGTAATTCTAATTCTTTTGGTATCCTGGTGTTCCATGACTGGCAGCCAGCCAGCATCACGGAGAAGACAGAGATTAGGAAGTAGGGATTTTATGGCAGTGATCTGTTTGGAATAATTGAAAGGTCAGTGAATTTTTGCAGATTTTATCTAGTTTAGACACTCTTTCCTTAATTCTGTTTCCATCTGCAGTACCTTTCCAAGAAACATGTATTGATAGACTGATTTGATAGTATGTCTATCCAACCACCTGCCATGGTCTGGGCAACATAGAGCTTTCTGGCAATCAGTAAGCATTTATTAATGCCCCCTATGGTCCAGGCACTGTGCTAAGCACTGGGGATACAAAGAAAGGCAAAAGACAGTTGCTGCCCTTGAGGAGCTCACAGCATAGTGAGGGAGACAATGTTCAAACAACCATATATAAAAAGTTATATATAGTATATGTTTAAATCTAGTTTGATTTTCTAGCAGCGGTAGTAAGAACAGTTTCACTTTGCTGTGGATTTCACTGAGTAGGTTTTATAATGTTCCAAGATTTAATGTAGTTAGTAAAATACCTTTTGTAAATATGAACATTTGGAGAAATTTGCCATCAATTGGAATCACTTCTTTTATTCAAATTTTGTGAAGGATATCTTAGGAATATTTTAATAAGTTAGTGGGGAAGTTATAATGATAATAAACAACTCAAGATTTAAAATCATTTATAACAAGGAACTTGTCTGTTCTCTATATCCCTAGCACCCATGTTTCTAAAAACCCCAGAGCTTCCTTCTAACACATCCCATAGATCAGTTGTCTCAAAATTTTTTGATTGTACATTCCTCTCAGTAAAAACTTTTTGAGGATATACCCCTAATATATGTGGTTTCTAATTATTTACAAATTTTATGTTTGTAACTATACTAATAATTTTTCATGTTATAAAACATACAAAAAATAGAAAATTTTTGAAAGGCTGTTTGGAAGGTAACATAATATTTAATCCTAGAGTTAATGGATGGCCTTTGGAGTTAACTGAGCTGAGCAGGGGCATGATCAGACCTGTACTTTGCCAAAGTCACTTTGGTTACTGTTTGGAAGACAGATGGAGAGAAGTGAAAGTTGAGATAGAAAAGCTAATTAGATTATTGTAATAGAGGCGATGAAGTGTTGAACTGGGGTAGTGATTGTATGAGAAGAGAAGAAGGCATGTGAGAGAAGTATTGTGGAGGTAAAAAACAATGATAAAATTTTGTAATTAATTGCCTATGTGGCTTGAGGTAAAGTGAGAGGTCATGGCTGAAACCAAGGTTGCAGACTGGAAGGATGTTGGTGCTCTCAACAGAAAGAGGGAAGTTCAGAAGAGGAGTGATTTTAGAGAAAAGATAATGAGTTCTCTTCTTGACATGTCGAGTTTGAAATGCCTATGAGACATTGAGTTTTTATTTGTTTAATAGGTAATTGGTAATGAGAGACTACAGTTTAGGAGAGAGATGAAGGCAAGATATATAGATTTGTGAGATATAACTAGCATTTTTATAGTTCTTTAAGATTTTCAAAGTGCTTTACAAATATTTTCTCATTTTATTCTCACAACAACCTTAAAAAGTAGGTGCTATTATTATCTGTTTTACAGACAGAAAACTGAGGCAAATAGAAAGTAAATGATTTGCCCAGGGTCACTAGGTAATAAGTATCTAAGGAAGGATTTAAACTCAGGTCTTCCTGATGAATTCAGTGCTCTACTCCCTGCCCCACCTAGCTGCCATACTAGATAATTAAACCCGCTGATTAATAAAATCATCAGGTGAGAAAGTGTATGTAGAGAGAAGAGGGCCTAGAACAGATCCTTCGGGAATTCCCACAGTAAGGAAGAGGAATATGACTGATGATCCAACAAGGAGGATTGAAAAAAGAGCAGTCAGAAGGATGATAGAATTAAGAGTGACCAGCGCCACATAAACTTTTAAGACGCACAAAAAAAAAATCAGGGAGGAGAGAATTTCCTGGAAGAGTGATCGCCAGTGTTAAATGCTGTAGAAAGGTCAAGAAGGATAGTAACTTCATAGAAAACAGTATCAGTTTAGAACTTGGGGGAATGGAAAGATGGTGATTTCCTTGAGGAAAATAGGGAATTTTAGGTTTTGAGAGAAAGATAATGTAATCACAACCTGTCTGTGTTTGCTTATCCTGTGTTATTCACTCTTTCCTATTGAAAAAACTAAAAGTGTGTGTGTGTGTGTGTGTGTGTGTGTGTGTATGTTTGGAGGTAGCTTTACATAACAATCACAATTCCTGAGCACAGATCCTTCCCATAAAGGGGTGTCTGCTATAGCCAGGAATTTATGAGTCCAGTGCAAGAATACTGATAGTGAGGAAAGAAGGCAGTTTTACCTGAAGATACCTGGCTCACTTTAAGTTATAATTATTTTGTGGGACCCACACCTGGGGTAGCCACAAGGGAAAACATAGGCGGTAGTTGGTAGAATGAGGGCATATTTCAAGAGGTGGCGTAATTACTGGGGACAAATGGCTATGGGCAAGGGGGAGAAAATATGACTCATTTTCTTTCCCTTCATTGGTTGATCACATATCCTTTGGGGTCTGGCCAGATACTCCCTTTTGGAAACCACTGGTAAAAAGGGTTAGGGTCACAGAGTCACATGGATCAAGACTAAAGCTGCCTTTGTAAGCAAGTTGTATTGCTCATTTCGCCTAGCATAGTTATGAACATCAGCATTTTCATGCTAATGCAACCTGACCTCACCCTCCCCATGTACACTGTGGCCATGTAGGACCTTCTGCTCCCTATAGATCCCCCCTTCTGAGATGTGCTTAGAATTCTCTCCCTTATATCAACTAATTCTTCCACGCTACTCATCCCTGAATTCCAAGACAATTGTAACATGTAATAATTAGTAATAGTTTCATTTTTTCTACCACACTCTTATGTGCTAGTCCATAATAGTCCACTGTTGGTAGAATGAGCTATTTGTTACAGAAGATGAATGAGTGTGGGCAAACACAGCAGATCCAAGTACCAGAAGGACAGTCTTAGCAACAACCAGGAAGTGTTCTGGCTTCAATCCCAAATGCAATTGACCTGAGTTAGATAGCCACAATCAAAGTTCTACATTAAAAGTATTCTTCAAGCTTCACCCATCCTTACCACCACTATAATATAAACCTACTATAACATTAATCATCTTTCAAATCTCTTATTCTATGGCTCTTTCCACTTCACTGAGCTCTTACCCCTCCAGAGATCACCCAGACTTCTGAACAGTAAAGCTTGTGGAAGAAAACTGTCCAAATGTTTTCCTTTGCTGTCTCAACATAGAAAGTATATCTATATTGTATGCCACAGTTTGTGAGCTCTCTGAATGTCTTTTAACCATCTGTTTTTGTGACTGATTCTTCACATTAGAATGATGTGTAAATAGATGATAGGTAGGTTGGCAGATTGACTGATCAATTGACAGGTTAGAAGTAGATAGGTAGGTAAGTAGATAGATACATAGACAAACAGACAGTAGACAGATGGAAAAACAAATGGAATAGATAGATAGATAGATAGATAGATAGATAGATAGATAGATAGATAGATAGATAGACAGACAGATAGTTTGCTGTAGCCTGTTAAATGCCAATGTTTACCATGAGGGTGCATCCACAAAGTTTCAACGCGTTTAGGTAAATGGAAGACAGTGTTGCTGTTGAGGTTATGAGATGCACAAGTCTTCAGTGCTGTTGCTGTTTCCAACTCCATTCCTCCCAAGGACTCCCTGCCATGTCTGGTAGTCTGAGCCTACTCTAGCATTAAAGTCACCCAGAATTATAAGCATTTCCTCTGTTGGCACATTGATGATGAGGGTCTCCAGGTCTTCGTAAAATTTTTCTTTGACCTCATCAGGATTCATCATGGTGGGAGCATAGACACCGATGATGGTGGCATGGTGTTTTCCTGCAAGTGGTAATTGCATAGTCTTGAGCCTGTCATTCACTCGTTTTGGTAGGCATATAAGATAAATAGATAGATAAATATTTTAGAGATAGGTAGATAGACATAAACTTTTGCTAAGAAAATGCATGTTACTATGTCATAGAAATCTTGCTGCTTTGTTGGATGCTAAAATGACGTAACATGCTAAGATGATGATCTTAAATGTCACTCTTTTTTTAATTCAGAACTATGGCCTGGAAACTGAAAACCTCAAAACCCTTTCTCACAAGTTAAATGCATCTGCCAAAAATCTGCAGAATTTTATAATTGGAAGGAGGAGGAGTGGCCACTATGATGGGAGGACTAGCCGGAAACTGCCAAATGACTTCCTGACCTCTGTTGTGGATCTGATTGGAGCAGCTAAAAGTCTGCTGGCATGGTTGGACAGGTAAAATCTCTCATGTTTTTAGAGTACAAATACATATGCATATATATGACAAGTCTTTTACGTTTGTAAGATGAATTTATTAACTTGAGGGAGAAAATATAGTTGAAGTTAAGCAATATATACTTAATTTTACTGTGCTAACATCTTTGCCCTTAAATGACTCTAGTTGAAATGTAACATTTCATCAAAAAGAAAGTATGGCTAAAATAGGCTCATTAACATAAATGATTATACAATAGTATAATAATTAGTGTCTAGTTCACTCTCATATAATCTAGTTGCCATTTTCTGAAATCAGGATTCAAGGCATGACAAAGGATACACTTTTTGCAATTTCTCATTAAAAGTACATATTCTTTTCTTGAAATTTGTAGTGGTCTAGAAAATCCTAGACATATGACTACCACAAATACAAGTTGTCATGAAATAGGTATATGCGTCAATCATTTGATTAAAAACCTTTATGAATTGACCGTTATGTCCCAAGTATTGTGCTAGGTGCTAGGGACCCAAATAAAAAAGTGAAACAGTTCTTTCCCTCAAGGAGTTTACATTCTGCTAGAAGGCTATGTAATTTTTGAAGATAAGTAAATATAGGACATGTAAAATCAATACAGCAATTTGGGGAGGAGCAATGGCAACTGAGAAAATCAGGAAAGGTCTCTTGAGTGGAATCTTGAAGATTGCTAAGAGTTCAAGGAAATGGATGTAATATAACAGAGTGATCTACAGCAGAAGGACAGATTAGGCAAAGATGTAGATATAGGAGATGGAATGCCATGTATGGGAACAGCAAATAGATCAGAGTAGCTATAGCAAAGTGGGAGTGACAATAATGTGTAGTCATCAAATCAAATCAAAAGCAACAAGCATTTATTAAGTACCTTTTATGTGGCAGGCACTGTGCTAAGTGCTGTGAATACAAAGAAAGGTGAAAATGCAGCTGGGAAATATTGGACAGAGCTAGACTGTGATAGTTTTCAAATGCTAAATATGTAAGAGTTTATATTTTAGATGAAACATCATGGAAAATGATAAATCTTCTCCAGGTGAGGAGTGGACCCATTCTTTAGGAGTAGTAATTTGGCAGTTTTGTGGAGGATAGTTTGGAAAGGGGAGAGATAAAAGGAAATAAATTAAATCAATTGATAAACCTTTATTAAGTGACTACTAGATGCCAGGCACTGGGGATAAAAAGACAAGATGAAACAATTCCTGTCCACAAAGAGTTTATATTCAATTGGAATATTTTTAGATATATAGAAATATCTATATACATGTATGCATATATGTACACATAAATATATACATATATGTTATAGATATACATACATTTATACATACATATTTATATTTAATTTCAATGAAATGTTATATTTTATATTTATACAGTTTATATTTACACAAATGTGTACATGTAAGCATGTATTTGGGTACATGTATAAGTGTGTATACATTTATATACAAATGCATATATATATATATATATATATATATATATATATATATATATTCCAAAAAAAAATACAAGATAGTTTGGGAAGGAAGAGAGAACATTGGCAATTGGGGGAATCAGAAAAGGCTCATGAAAGATTCTTGTGGGATTCTACACAGTGTAGGTGAGGATGTTACATCCTATGTGAATAATAGCAAGAAGCAACAATATGGAGGACTAGACATTATCTCTAGTCCTCACAAACTCTGAAAATACCTCCAAATAAGAATTATGCATAGGAGATATAAAACTTCTCCAAATAAGAATTTTGCACAAGGTACAGTAATTATAGCTGTCTCCATGGGCCAAGGCACCAAGAAGTCTAACAAGCCAATAACTTGGAGAATTAACAGCAAAGATTAATCCCTATTCCCTAACATGCTCACTCAGCCTCTTTTCTTTAGCACGCTACAAAAATCCCACCCATGGGCTTGTGCTCTGGTATCCACTCTTTAATTCCCTTGTTGCTGCTATATTGACTTTTGTTAGCACATTCTGTACCTGCTCTCAAATTTGGTGGCAGAAAGCCAAAGACCTCAACTCTGCCCACCCGCTTCTGGAGGAAGGGGAAAGGTATAAGAGAGTGGAAGCATACTGTGCCTAGTGCAGCCATGTTCTGCAGCAATGATCAACCTGAGAACTAAAGACATAAAGAAAACATCTCAAACAGCATTCTTAGAAGCAACTTAAAGATTATAGGTCTCTCAAAAGAACATGACTAATCACAAAACCTGAATGCTAAAAATCTAAGAAATAATATATGAAAGCTGCCCAGAAATTCTAAAAACAAAACATCAATTGAAATAATCCACTGATCACTTCTAGCAAGGAAAAAAAAACTAATGTATGCTGCAAAGGGATTAAATTTAACAACCCCAATGACAAACATATTATAGGTATGTAAGTATGTATATTGGTCATTGAAATTATCAATTTAACCCCTTTGAAGCATAGAGTATATATGTGTGTATGCATGTGTATATGCATGTATTTATATGGACTAACAGGTATAAGTCATAAATAGACTTATTTACACAGATTATATGAATATGTATATACATATATGTGTATGCATGTATATACATGTATATTTACATGTCTGCAAGGGACCAGGAGAAAGACCTTATAACATAAAGAAAAGGAAATTCAAAATCACAAGACTATGTACCCAGTGGAAACCACAGGATGGAATGGAATAACCTGTAAAAATAAAAGAGCTTATGCTACAACTCAAAATGACAAACCCTGTAAATGTAAGTTTAATCATCAATAAAAAGGCAATCATCAATAAAAATCAAAGATGTTTGATACGTTCTCACAAAAAAGACATGAGTAGATTATTCACTTTGTGGACACAAAAAAAGGAAAATAACAGCTATTACAGAAAGCACAAATAACAAATTAAATTATACCATATTTAGAGGGGTATTTAAAGGGGAAAAAAGAGAAAAAGAATGACACTCATGCACTTAAAAAAACTATAACAACAAAATAGCAACAGAAGCACTCATTTAGATATTTCTTTCTAAAAGTACGCAAGATTCTATCAAAAGCAGAATTTAAATAGGTGAAGTAATGGTAGAGGAATGGGCCTAAAACAATATAAACTAAACAGTATTCCCTTTTACAGGTGAATTACTGGTTTTTTGGGGGGAGAAAAATATGCAGGGATGTGAATGTGCATAAAAGAAGAAAGAGGAGATAGAAGATAAAGGGAAATGTGTGATGTACCCTGATCAAGTCAATGATAAACAATGAAGTGAAAATAATTGCTATTGTCTCCCAGGAAGAAGAGGGCTACAGGGGAATGGTTTGAGGAATGATCAAAGGAAAGGTTTGAAATGGGAAAAGAATGATTCAGCCCTACTGAAGAGCACTGTCTGGACCAGACATATATTGTACAATGGGTGAGGGGAAACTTATAATGGAAATAATAATCATTACCTTTGAGAGAGTGTTGTGCCTCCTTGGACAGGATTCTGTCACAAGAGAAGGGCAATCAGTGCTCCTGGAGATAGCCACCATTCAGAATGGTGGGAAGATATGGATCTATAAATGAAATTTCATGAAAAATGGGAAAGGAAATGATCATGGAAAGGGTAAGAGTTAGAAATGAGATCATGCAATCAAAAATACAGGGAAATTTTTACTCTGTGGCAGTATTACTTTCTTCTGTATCTCCTAAAGGAATTGATACTTCTAAGAGTGAGGCACAACAGGGAAAGGTGGAAGGGGAAAGATATACAAGGCAATAACACAGAAATTGTTTAGAGGGGAGCTCAAAATAATTAATGCAGAAGCTTTAATCCCATGAGGATCACAAAGACTAAAAGAAGGAATAAATAAATATAAGGACCATGAATCAAAAACTAAAAGTTTTGAAGTGAAAGAAAGGGAATAGAATTAATGAAGAAAATTAATTAAAGAAATTCTTTATAGAAAAAGGTGCAGAAAATTTAAAAAAACTAACAAAATGAAGGAGAGGAGAAGGATTTTAATTAGCTGCTTAACAGAGAGAGAAAAAAGAGTAGAAGTGTTAGATTACCAGATATAAAGGAGATAGAAAAAAAGAATTGCTAAGTTAAATAAAATTCCAAAGCCAGGGAAAAGGATGACAAATGGAAGGAGATGCTTGATGAGAGAGAGAGAGAAGGAGAGAGAGAGAGGGAGAGAGAGAGAAAGAGACAGACAGGGACAGAGAGACACTGAGAGACAGAGACAAGAGAGAGACAGAGACACAGAGAGATAGAGACAGAGCCAGCCAGCCAGACAGAGACAGTGAGAGAGACAGAGACATAGACAGTGAGGGAGAGAGAGAGAGAGAGAGAGAGAGAGAGAGAGAGAGAGAGAGCACCTGTGGAAATAGGGCTGCCTTAAAGTAAATTAACCAAAAGACTAAAAAAAACCAAAGTATTATCCTTATAGAGCAGAGGAACCAAAAAAATACGTGAATTCAGGTAATATATATATATATATATATATATATATATATATATATATATATATATATATATATATACTGTTTGTGTGTATATATACATATATATTACAGACAAATAAAGTATAACTTGTATAACTTTACGTGTGTATGGATTAAATAATTCAGTAAAACAAAAGAGGATGACAAATTGGATAAGGAAACAAAACTCCTTAATCTGTTGCTTGACAAAATACTCCTAAAAATCAAAGACATACACAGAATAAAAATGTGAGGCTAGAAGAAAATGTGCTATGAAATCAGGTGAAACCAAAGCAAGAGTTGAAACAAAAACAGAAAGAAAAATTCGCAGTATAATAGTACAAACTAGGAAATTACGTTATACTCAAATGAACCATAGACAACATGATGATATCAATATTAAACTTAATTCTCCAAATGCATTAACATATAAATTCATAAAGAAAAAATTAACTAAATTAGAGATGTATAGATAGTAACTCAATAAAAGAATGAGACTTTAATGTTTCTCTCTCAATTTTAGACAAACATAATAGATAAACAAAA